AACACAGGCTCAGTTCGGCCTGCCTTCTGTTCCTGCTGGCCACGCAGAGGCGGCGCGGAGCTAAATAACAAATTCCCAGGAGTATTCGACACGGGATAGCGACAATACTGGTTGCCACAGCAGCAATGAACAGCAGCAACAATCGCGGCAGCCATGGCAGTCATGGTGTCATGCATGGTGCCAAACATCGTCGTGTTGCTGTCATAACAGGTAGGTGACGACAATGAAAAACAGCACTCACACATTACAATAGTCCTATCTTACCACGACATTCTTAGGTCAATTCTACTAACCGCGAAGCAACAGCATGCAACAGCAAGTATTGCAAGATAATAAGACATTGTGATATGGTGGTTGCCGTGTGGTGGCGATGGTCGTCGTGGTGGTAGTGCTCAAGGTAGTGGTAGTAGCAGTAGCCGTAGCCGTAGCATGAGGAGCAGTTGCAGTAGTAGCGGAATCCGGGGCAGTTGCGGCAGCAGCAACAATGCAGCAGACGGTGCAGCAGCCATCGTAGTCACCGTCGTCATCGTCGTGCTGTGCTGCAGCCGCAGCAGGAGCAGTAGGAGCTGCAGCGGCATCAGCTCGCAGCTGATGCCGGTGTGCCGCAATTCGTGGCAGTTTGTGTCCCCAGACGGCCGGATTCGTGACAGCTTTTCATGTGCAGCAGTAGAAGAGTTTGAATTTTGCACCACTTCTTAATTCTTGCCAGCATCTGAATGTCAAGTCAAGATGCAGCAGAAGGCAGATTATATGCTTCACGGGTCTTCTCAGGTTTCAGTGGGGTCTCCTTGTCGCATGGCGGGTACCGAGCTCCGAATCGGGAGCCAGCCGGCGCTGTATCCATCCCATCCTCTGGCTCCTACCTACCTGCGGCGTGATCTCCCGGCTGTGGATGTGAGGAATCTCTGGCGGCTGCGTGACGAGGGCAATTGCCCCCTCCCGAACAGCAAGAGCGCCACATCTTCGAGTTTTTCGGCTTCCAAGCACTCTGTGGAGTTTGCGTCGGTTAGCAGCTTTCGGGACACGCTTCGCAAGCACACCCGGTCACCCTGTAGCCCATCGCAGAAGTACAAGTATGGGTCTGCGACGGCGCATGAGATCGGATGGTTTATCGACGAATCCCCGACTCAGAAGATCGGGCTGCGAAGACCAAAGCATGGGCTGAAGGAGTCCGAGACGACGCGTTACTACAACAACATGAAAGCGACACTGTCTGAGGCATCCCTGCGCTTGATTTTGCCTTAGTAGATGCTCCTTCGCGGCCTGAAGGCCGCGGTGACGAGAGGAACCGCGTGCGAATGACGCGAGTTGAGTGAACTAGTATGCCTGCTGTGGGGCCAAAGGCCCAACAGCTATTTGCACCCTTCGGCCACTTGCCCTTGCACGAGACGTCCGAGGCATCTGATTCCACCAGGAGGAGCAAGATTGCACAGCTTTAGGGGGGAGATGTGTTGTGGGGGTTTGTCTGGCTGCTCTGAGGCGGCGCCAGCGGCCCCGAGCGCAGTCCAGACCTCCTTCGTATTCCTTTGCAGCGTTCGTCTCGACCTCTCGAGCCTCTGAGGGACCGGCGAAGAAGTCGGGCATCCCGCTGCTTTGCGGCCTTTAACGTTGCATCCATGCTGTCCATGCTGGTCAGGCGCAGCGCTGTGCTGTAGCGACCTGGCAGGTCGCTGCCTGGTGGCAGCAGCAGCATGAGTGGCACTCACAGCCTCGGACTCGGTGGCGATGCCCTTTTCAACAGCAAAGGAAGCCGCGGCCCAAGCTCTCGTGCCCTTTGGGCACACCACATGCCTCGCGTAGACTGGCGCCTTGAGGCTGGAAGGAGGGGCACGGCAGTCATCCGAACTCGGGCAGAAGGCACAACGAGAGCATGTCAGCTGATCGACGGATCAGCGAGAGTAGGTGGACACTAGTGGGCATTGCAGGCATCGTAGGCAGGACAGAAGTCTCGAAAACTGCCAGTCAGAGTCTGATGCAGCTTTGCAGTTTCCGGATTCACATGCCGACACACGGGTCTTGAGACCAAGCACTGTTGGGACGGCCTGTGCAGGCCCTCGGGCTTCGGAAGCGGCAAAGAAAATGCAGGTGGTTCTAAAGGCCGCCTGCAGATGTGCCCCTTCCCTGGGCAGTACATGTATAATAATATATATATATACATACACACATACATACATACATATATGTATATATAAATCTTGAGTCTATGCCGATATCTCTACGTCTCTGTCGGTACCTCTCTGTCTATATCTCTATCTATCTCTGTGCACACACGAATTGACGGAAGAGCAGCAGCGGCATAGTCGAATTCGCCAGGTAGTTTAAGAAAACGGCGACGGCGACGACTGAAGTTATTCCTTATACTACAGCCTGGTATTGTGTACGGTCTCCATGACAGTTTAACGACATGTACAGAACTGTGCAGATCAAGATCCGACCATGCCAACATATTAGACAGACGCAGACTAAACAAGTGGACGCGGGGGATGCCATCTAGATGGATGTTCTACATGGACATATATGTATATGTTTAACACACTGAGGGCACAGAGATATGGAGGAAAAGCGAGGCAGGAACATGGCTAAACAGAAGGATACGTAGGTACGTCCTTGGACAGAATTGTAAACAGATAGATGGATAGATAGATAGACAGATAGATAGACAAATAAACAGAACCAAAGAGAGATAGATACATTGATAGACCGACAGCTCGACGCATCGATGGATAGCTAGACTTGGACAGACAGATAGCTAGAAAGACAGAGACACAAACAGAAGAGTTCTGTGTACATGTGCATGCATATACGAAACGTATGTGGTGACATACTTGTATCTGCGCATGCTTCGGAAGACAGACACGAGTGCGAGCAATCAATTAAGCAGGAAGAACCACAATATTCCTCGAGGCAGTCCCAACCAAAATCGAACTTATCAAAACCCATGGGCTAAGAACTGAGCAACAAAAAAAAGTTAAACAGTTGATTTGATATTGGACACAGTTTATATTTTTTTGGATGAACGTTTCACTAGTATGTGAAGGATGTTCGAACACGCCCTATGAAGGTTTTTTGAAATCGCATCTTAAGCATTTGTGCCTAATGAACCCTTGCTTCGCATTGCTTTCTATCCCTTCATGAATGAATCAAATAATCGGTCGTTGCTATCTACAAATGAATTAGCATTTAACTCCTGAGTTGTATCTCTTTGCTGTCAAAGCTCGCGAATATTTTCTACTTTGTTAGCTGAGCAGACGTAAACGTGAGGCGAAACACGATGACACATTCAACAAATCTTGCTCCCACACTAATTTCATATTTACTAAAACAGAACCTCCATTAGTTATAGAGCCAATATTAGATGGCAGATACTGGTAACTCATAGGTCACATGAGTGCTCGATGAGCAGTATTTAAGAATGAGATCGTTTGGTGAGTGTTGTCGACAAAAACGATGACAGCAATGCTCTGAGGCCGTATCCTGTTGCAGTGTTGTGAAAAAGAGCGAGAGGAACGCTGCCTGCAACTCTTTAAGGCTTTACTTCTGTTGCAACAATGCAAAAGAAGGGCAGAATACAGTACTTGGCTACCACAAGCACTAGAATCATTAGAAATGCTGATTCTTATCGGGCGGGGAGGGGGGTTGTCATCTATATACGTATACATACATAATATTTAGATGGATAGATACAGAAATGAATACATTTATATCTATATATATATATATATGTGTGTGTATACATATATATATACACACACACATGCTAGCATGCACATTATGTGTATATGAACGTGGTTCTAACACAACCTTTGCAGTTCGATGACATCAGCATGTTTTCCGTCTGTACCCTTCGGTACCATTAAAACATGTGTCGAGACACAGTATTACCACATAATATCTGTCTGCACACAAGCACATCTGCCTTCCGTTTTAACTTGTGAAAACACCGGTGCAGAAGTTATATATGAGCATGCATGAGCAAGTCAACGAAGAAACCGATGCTTCAGGGCACGGCCAGGCAGCCAATGCATACAGAATGCTTTATTGAGCCTTCTTGATGTGGTGTGTCCCTATCTTTCGTTCAGCATCAAACCAACTGTTAACATGTTTTGCAATCTAACCCTCGCGGGCATCAATGTAAACGTGTTGTGACATTGAGTGCACAATGGTTTTTGAAGCGTACCGGGTAGAATGGCAATATACACTCACATCTTGTACTCCTCTTATCGTGAATACTTCAAGCATCTGAACCATGTTCTTGGTAACCTGGTACTGTTAAGTATGTCTGCGTATATATATATATGTATAGATACACACCTATACCTGTATGAATTAGTACATACGACGAGCATGTATACAATGAACTTGATGCTGCACGTTGATGCCAGCCGACTGCATCAGAAATCTCGCCTGCGATTCGCTTAGATATGTGCCGGAATGGTTATCTTCGTGCAACCAGGATTTGTGTTTTGTTTTGGCACGTATCGGACCATAAATGCCCATTGACACTGTCGCATCAATAAGGTTCTCAACCGGACTAAAGCTGCCGGTCCATAGCTGCATCAGTAGTTATAGAAGTTATAGCAACGGACACTTGCCTTTGTGAGCGCGGTTATTGTTAGAAGCCGTCCACATTTGCGTTTGAGATGTGCTCCTGTTCGGTATGCACTGTGGTCTACGAGGAGTGGTGATCCGAAAAAATCACATAAGCACAGCCTTCGTATTAACTCTATAGTTCGACCGGAGACACTAAATGAGCTCAGTTATGGCCACGTCTGTTCCTTGTAGCATCTTCGCCACTGTTTCTGTAGCTGCGATTACAGTATTACTTTAGGGTAGATGATAGCATCTCCTTGGCTTGATAGATTTTTGACATTCTGGTCGAAAGATGTTCGCCGTGCTGGCTTGATGTTACTTCACAAAATTTTGCACAATGCAATACATTTCGCATGTCGGATCATAACCTTCGCGATGAGGGCTTCTCTTTTTCAAGAACATTACAAGATGACGAATCTTGGACTGCTCTCCTGTGTCCCGCAGCACCTATGAGAATGCCACAAAATCTGCATATAAGCCCGTAGTACATCGTAGTCCTCACATCACAAAAATCGTAGCAGGCAAGTGTTTTTTTTCATTTTCTAGGCCGTGTAGGTTGCAAACCGTCACCGGATCAGAAGCTATGCATGGTAAGAAAAGCAAGGTTTCGTATTTTTCAGAGGATCAGAACTTTTTGCTGGCGAAGTTGCATTGCAGTAGGCGTTGCAGTGCGGATTACAACAGTGTTTGTATGGGCTACAGTAGACTCAGTAGACTTGTAGGAAGCATACTGAGGCGTATAACAAGGAGCAGAAGGATGATAGGGATGAAATGCATCTCACTAGCTACGATGGCAAGAGTTGCAACATCAGGATCTGCAGCGATCACAGAGCGTTTTGATAGTTGGGAAAATAGTAGGTTCGTGGTTGTCAAAGATCGAGGATTTGTCGGGACAGTGTAAAACACACACAGGGATCTGTTGCAGTGAGCTTAGCCATAGAGGTTGTGGAAAGGATTCAGTAAAGGGGTTGCAGGAGGCAAGATGACTCGGATTTGCACGCGTAAGAGATTGGCGGGGAATTATGTAGAGACATACACAGACACGTATAAATTTTGTTTGTGCTTCTGGATAGTATGAAGCAAGATCATGTTGATCATGACGATGAAAGAAAACGAAGATGAGATGATATTTTTCGTACCATGTATGCCAGACCAAAGGAGTGGCATACAAAACCAAACACGATGAGATGAAAAAGGGATATGGTTGCGGCTCCTGGATACGCCAAACACAAAGGAACACCAAGGAATGACATAGCACGCAATGAGGAGGAAGAACATGAAGATGAGTGCCCCGCCAGCTGCCCCTCAGTGCACAGGCGCAGACGATGCAGGTACGTTTCCCTGGGGTGTAGGGGAGAACTTCGGTGGGTCTCCCTGCAATAAATCAAGATGAAAAGCGCAGGGGCGTGACCCCCCTTAGCCCATGAACGAGGACAGTCCAGAGACACGCGCAAAACAACCATCAAGTCGCACTTTGCCGGCAAGCAAGCACTAGCACTTTAGTGCATTAAACTTTTACAGCATTACCAGAATAGGCCGCAGCTAGCCGTTTGTCATGCCAGGTGCACATGCATTCCTGTGCAAACCGTCCTGAGATCGCAGTACGAATAGTCGAGACAGACTAGCGAGGTAAGGCGCTCACGGATCACTCGAGGATTACCAGAAAGCCTTGCACATGCCCCCTCTGTCAACTAGAGGGGAGAGCCTCAACCTTTCCTAGATGGGCCTCTCGCATCAGGTGGCTGCGTACCAATAAGAGAAACAGAGAGAGAGCGGGGTTTTCCACGGTTAGGGTTTAGGAGGGTGTTTTTTGGGGGGTTGCAATGGTCACAGCTCAGGGCCAGGAACTTGTAGCTTCGTTGGACACAGTCCCAGTGGCATGCTGTGTCCCCCTGCTGTAATGTACAGGTAACTTTCAGAGTCATGTCGCCATGTGCAGGCGTTTTCCACACACACACACACTCTCACCCACGAGAGCGGACTGAGCTGGGGAAGGAGGTCGGAATGGGGGAGGGGGGGGGGAGGGGGGCGGAAAGAAGGCAGAAGAAACAGTCAGAAGCACACAGTGTCGGCAAACAAAGCAGGCGGAATTACCAGTCCTCCTACTTATCCCCCCCAAAATTGTTCCAAAAACTCACAAACAGCCTTTTCCATTAACAGTGGCTTTGGGAGGGGGATAATGGGGGAGGGAATCTTGCACTATTGTTAGTACCAAGTCTCCAAAAAACGGTTGCTTCCGGCCTCGGCGGGTTACTGGCGGAACTGTCTGTTGGATTCTGTTCGCAACGCTTCTGTAACGGTAGGTGGGGGAGCTTGCTGGTGCGAGGACTTGGATCTTGAGCATCCGTCTGTCTATCTGTGAGAGGCTTTAACCTACCGCCACTGGGCGCATCAATGGCACCCATGGACGGTTGGCGTCCTAGCGTCAATTCTGGAGGGTAGTAGTGCACGCCGGCATGTCTGCTCTTGGTCAAGTTGTTCTTATTGCTCACGAGCAACACCTCTGTTAGTACGGTCTGGTCCTCTCAAGCTACTGTTACTTTCTGGAGCTCCCTGATTTCCAAGGGAGTGGCATGCTGCCCCAAGGCCGAAAGAGCTCTGGCACAGGCAAGAAGAGCGCCTCGGCCGACAGGGCGGAGTTGCCACATCCCAGCCTTTCAACATCCGACCCAAGTTCTGTGCGATACCTCTCCCGAAGTGGCCGAGGCCCTGGAGCACGCTACCTAAAGATGGCGCGCTACCAACCAGGAAAGTCACGGACGGGAGGGAAGAGGAGCAGCGGATGCGCACGGATCCGTGAGGAATGCCGCAGCAGATGTCATCCTTGCCGGCCGTGCGGCCGAGTATGCCTCCGGGCGTCACGGCCCTGAGTGGGGTGCTGCGTGGAATGGAAGGTGGGAAGCTCTCTCAAATACGACTTGTCGGGCTACCCAGGCCGGCGTGCCGGGCGTGGCTGGCGTGCTGATCTAAGCTTGGGAGCCTTGTTTGTTGCTGGTGGTGGTGTTGATGTAGCCATGCTGTGTCTAAGAGGAAGACTTCGCATGTCGTGTCCTGCCAACCCCGCACCTCCTGGAAGTCGGGGTCTCCAAGCTGCAGTAGGGGAAGGGCCCGTAGCGGCTAAGCAGCATCAGGTTCCAAGCGCCGGCAATGCGCGGCCGGATGCCTTGCCGGAGGCAGCCTAGTCTCTTGGTGGTCGGTTCCGTGCTGCAAAGCCAGACATCGTGTCACAAAAAAGATCGAAATGCTCAGGAGAAGAGATCTGGCACCTAGGGCATGTGGAGCCCGTTGGAGTCTTAAAGCCTAGGCAGTGTCGAAGCTTTGGTGCAGGTTGGCGGAGGGCCCCCCCGACAAAGCTACTTCGGAGCCCATGCCGCCGGCATCCCAGTTTCATGAAGCAGCTGCGGCTTGTCGCCTCCCTCTTGTACCTGGCTATGTGCGTGGCCAGCTGTGTCCATGCTGAGACGGTCCAACGAAGTCCAGCGTGTGGCTTTCGGGCCAAATGATTGTGGAGTCGTTCTTGCTGAACTGAGGCCAGAATGCTGGGCTGAGGAACGTGGAGGCGTTTGCGGCATCTCATTGCACAAGTTCGACTTTGCTAAGACTATCTTAGAATGACATGGTGGAACTCCTCTGAACAAGTCCCGTAAACCAATCGAGGTGTAATAATTTGGTAGCTCTGCCTTTACAGTATCTGATGAATTCCTGGTTCGGGGTTTGGGAGGGTGTACATCAAAAGCAAAACAGGCATGTGGAACAGGTTCATGAACAACCCATGGGTTACTTTGATTACTGGATGGCTGGACCCCCTTATATAGCACCGCCAAAGTCGGGTGGCTTCTGAAGCTCCTGCTTATCGTAGCAACCTCCCGAAATGCCAGGCGGCCACGTGAACGGTGACACTGTAGGCGTACACCGTGAATCTGCCATCATTTTTTCGCACTTTCCTCGACGTTGGCTCCATGCTCGATTTTCGCACTCTGTAGCTCTGAACTGTTTTTCAGTATCTTAGCGCTAGACCTTAAATTGGGATTCAGTTATAAGATGGACCACGCCCCGAATTGGGTGACAGGATGTGACAGGGTTTCACCGGTCATGCTTATTTCTTCTGCTGCTCGCCGTGGCCTCCGTAAGCATTGTCATCGGTCTCGTGCAACGGGTAAAGGCCATGTGCAGGGCGAGCAGTACAGTTTCACACCATGCGTGATTTTTGCGTCCATCATGGTTGGGGCGTTCCTTGCAGAGTTCTTTCTTAACTTCAGCGCTTTTCAAACATCCCAACCAGGGAATACGTAGTCAGTTTCACGTAGCGTAGCTATTGCATGGCTTATGAACAGCTCGGGTCGGAGCAAGTCAACGACCAGAACGTATGTCTTAAAGGCTGATTGAAGCTGCACTTTGCACACATGGAATCTCAGTGTTCGGACTCTGAAGGTCGAACGAACCGCTGTTGCATGCGGTTTGCACAGCTCCATGAGCTTGCATACGCAGAACGGAGCAGGTGTGAACTCCACATGCTCTAGATCTGTGATCGACGGGAAAAATCACCTCTATGCATCTCTTTGCCCTCACAAGCTTTTCCAAACAAGCCCAAGGTTCAACGCAGGTGCGGTTTTGCCGGGTGTACACTAAGCTGACCTTGTCCGAATCTTGATGAGAAATGGGCAGCCGTCTGTCTGAAGGTTTCTACACCGTCAATGACTGTCCGCCGAACGAAGAATGCCTGTCCATTTTCGAATCATCAGTGATTTCTTGACAAGTCCTTCATCCAAGCTCAAATGCCTGATGCAGTAGCATACTAGCGGCTTGTTTGAAGGCATGTTCGGATTTCAGTTGGGGTTAGTGACCTGTGCACAGCAACGCATCTCCCTGGATGGATCTCCGAGAGAGCTGGAACAGAACAGAGCCCTGGGGTGCTCCTTCCCGAAAGACCGAAAAACACCATGCAGGAAACTTGCAGCCTGGCCTTCAGCCTTTGACTGGCCCGATGGATCCTGCTACGGTTCCCAACAAGGAGACTTCTCGGTTCAAATCGCGTTTCGGTGATGACTTCGGGCTGATGGAGAGGAGCATCCTTGACACGTGTCGGCCAGGACGTTTTCGGAAAGAAGGTTGATCCGACAAGGACACCTCCTGCAGCCTCCACTGAAAGCTCGCGAAAACATGGGATGTTGAGCCACTGATGGATCTTGTTAGATGAGCACATGCTTGAGATGCAAGAAGTATCTGTATCTGCATTGACGTTTTCAACGTCATGGTTGATGATCGTTCGGCACGTTAATCGTCCTTAATCGTCCAGAGAACACTCTCCCCAGGCTCCCAGCTTCATTTTTGAATGCAACACAGTGCTATCCATAATGCTTCATTGAACGCACGAGTTAGTAAGCTGGACGTGTGTATTCCACGGCGACCGTTTGTGATCCGAAAGCACCGCTGTAACAGTCTCAGGACATGTACGTAGGCTTGCGGGGGCCGGCAGGTCCTTAGACCGTGCTTCCTTCGCTCCGAAGCAGGGACAGCACAGGAGCAGCCACCAGGCGAGAAACCCCGTGTGTAAACACGAAGAACTTATGCATGGCTGCAAATGCGAAACGGAGCAGACCGCTTTGGAATTGGCCGCAGAGTGCTCGACAAATGTGCTTTCAAGCACGCAGGAATCAATCCGCCAATTTCGGTGGCGCTGAGGGCTTCTGTATCCCGAAGAGGCAGCATGTGTTCATGCACTGGTTTGCTTGGTGACATACACGTTTGTGAATCAAGAAGACACGGATGGTGCTCACTAGCAATCGCGACAGGAGCAGTACTACGTGCAAGAGTAGGAGCAAGAGCAGTAACTTGTGCTATTCGTCCACGTACATGTATTCGCACTAGAGTACATATCGTTTTTCGTAATGCTTCATGCATCTGCATCGGAGAATTCTGCTGTTAACGTCATTGCCATCATAGGAAATCATAGGTTCGCCTGTGAAAAGCTAAAGCCAACATACCTATAGTGAAAATCAGAATGGCCATGTGATGCCATGTGTACAGATCGATGCCAGTTCCAACTCTAATTCTGAGATAGTCGCAGTGATAGCAGACCGTCACGGTCATATGCTAGTGCTTGAAGGCCGTGTTGTGTCTAGTGATTATAGTGAATAGGATTGAATAGGTGTAAGAAGAAAGCAGCGAGAGAGAGGTTCCCCTCACGCAGGCGCTCGCCACTGGCCCCTGGGCCTTGCGAGATAAAGAGACAAGGAAGTGCTGAGCCCTGGTGCTGTTGGAAGTGGTGCTGTCTGCGGAGGAAGACAGCAGAATCCACACCAAAGGAAACAACGCGATTGGACGCGTCGCGGTGCTATGTCCGACGGCTTATTCGAGACTGGTTGCTCGAAATAAACAATCGGATGTGTATGGTGGAAGCTCGGCCACCCCAACAGAAGAAGAAGAAGACGTTGAGAGGCAGAGCCGCTTTTCAGCCAGAGTTTCCGTTCGACTCGGCTATGTCCTATGTTCATAAGGATTTCATAAGGATTCGGGTGTCGGTCTCAATGTGTGTTCCTTGCTTGCCGCTGGCAGTGACGACATCTCTGTGCGGAGCGGCAGCCGCATCACACAGGGCAACCTGGAGTTGGGCGAAGCTCTGGGCTCAGTTGCGATCCGACGTGTTCATTCCAAGAGCCATAGCCCTGTCGCCGGAAGACGTAGAGCCACGTGGCATCGTCTCCGAAAAGCAGTGCGTGAACCCCTGCAAGGAAAACGCAGTGTGTCACGGTCAGCCGCGAGATTCAAGAGTCGGACAGTGTCGACAGGGCATGCCACTGTTTTGACTTGCCGAGCATCCATCTCCGCCTTCAGTCTGTTGACAAGAGCCCGTAGAAGGTATTTAAGGCAGCTGGACAGCTTGTGCGAAAGAGCTTGCCAATGTGGCACGTCTACACTCTACACAGCATGATAATTATAGTTTGCAGGGCCGATTAGACTCCGAATCATCCGCGACATATGCACAACACTTTATAGACCTCACACTGTAGTCATCATCATGCTGGTCATGCTAGCAGTCATGACCGTCGCATATCTCACAGTGCTGGAAAAGGTTTGGGGTTGCGCCAGCAGCAGTTTTTGGCAGTAGTGGCAGCCGCTGCAGTAGCAGTAGCAGTAGCAGTAGCACTAGTAGTAGTCGTAGTGGTAGTGGTAGTGGTAGTGGTAGTAGTAGTCGTAGTAGTAGTGGTAGTAGCAGTAGTAGCAGTAGTAGCAGCAGCAGCAGCAGCAGCAGTAGTAGTAGCAGTAGTGGTAGT